GCTCTGATCCCCATGTTATTGAAGAGGACACGGGGTCAGAGAGAAAGGAGGTGATCCCACTGGGTCAGCCAGTGGGCAAGGGGTGGCAGCTGGGCCCCCAGACCATGCTTTTTGAGTGACGCTGACCTGCCTGGGGTAATGTCACTGAGCTTTTGAGGCTGAGACTTGAAGAGTTCTCTGCTTTGTCTGTGACCAGCCTTTACCAGGAGTGAGTTTAGAAAAAGTGTCAAAACAAGTCACCCCGTGTTTAAACAAGCATCAGAGGGTCCAAATTTTTGTTCGGGGTGGTGGTGGTAATTGTTGAGGTTACAGTGTATAAAAGAAGTGATCTGTAGACAGGGATCTTGGGGAAAGAAACTTACATAATTTTCAACTGTTTGTCTCCCAGAAAAGTCACAGAAATATGTAAAAACATTATCACTCATTAGTTGACATTTAACCAAACGTATTATTCTAAAATAGGATAAATAAAAACTCCTTAGTAGATGTCTTGGTCAGCTGGGGTGACCATGGCAAAACACCACAGACGGGGTGGCTTAACAACAGATGTGGATTGTCTCAAAGTTCTGGTCAGGTTCTGGCGAGAGCCCGCTTCCTGACTTGCTGCTTTCTGGCCGAGTCACCACATGGCCTGTCCTTGGGTGTCCATGGAGAGGCCATACTCTCTTGCTCTTCCCCTCTGTGTAAAGGCCACAAATCCTACCAGGTTAGGACCTCACCCTATGACTCATCTACCCTTAATTTACCTCCTGAAAGCCCTATCTTCAGATGCAGTCACATTGGGGGTTAGAACTTCAACATAAGAATTTGGGTAGGACACAATTCAGTCCATAGCAATAGGGAAGTTGTTTTCTCCCTGAATATGATTTCTTCCTTTTATGTTTTTTTGCTATATTTATATTTCAGCCAAAGCTGGATTATAAACACCAGTGGGAAGAATCTGTGTCTAAATGTCTCATCTACAAACCACCCAGCTTATTAATTTTTCACTGTCAAGTGATATTTATGATAAAGGTAATGGGAGTGATCAGTATGTTCAGATTATTTAAATATTCAAGTATTTTTTTGACTTTTTATATTTCTTTTTTAAAAAAATTTATTTATTTATTTATTTAGGCTGCACCAGGTCTTAGTTGTGGCATGCATGTGAGATTTAATTCCCCGACCAGGGATCGAACCAGGGCCCCCCTGCATTGGGAGCGTGGAGTCTTACCCACTGGACCACCGGGGAAGTCCCTTGACTTTTATTTTATTCAACTTTGAGTATTTTATATGTTAGCTTAAAATAATATATTATTAATTTTTACAAGGTGGCTGTTCAAATTTTCATTCTATCTGAGCAAGTAATCATCATCCTATACTTCTTGTATAAAAGAAAGGATAGGGTACCCTGTATGGCTTTAGGAGAGAGATACATTTGAAATTTAATGTTCTCATTTAGTTACAGAAAGCTAGAGAGAACTACTGCTTTAAACAGCTGGGTTCTTGGCAAATGAACTTAAAAATAAAAAAGAATATTTGCCAATTTCTTTTCTGTCGGTCTCAGGTCCTTTGATATAACTTCCTCTTGGGAAAAAAAATATCAGAGAAGTATTAAAAATTGGCTCAGTGTGATCAGAAGGAAAAGTCTGTCTTTTTCAAAATGGGCTGAATTCTAAAAGTTAATTAAGAAGACATTGTCACATGGTCTTCTGCACTGGTTATATTTAGCTTTTCCCTTGAAATAAGATACCTCTTTCTTCTCTGTAAATGTGACTATCTTGGTGTCTTGAGTCTTCCAGCCATACAGGATCACCATTTCCTTTAATATTCAAGTGAGCAAGTTCATGCCGTAAGGCCCTGTATTTGGAAAGCTCCACGTGCTCTGTCCCCAGCTTCCATCACCAAGGATTGCTGTAGTCCTGGAGATTTTCTGGGTCACCCCGACTCCAGTTTACTCCCTCCACTGAATGCTTAGGCTCCCTGAGCACTGGGCCTCCCACGATTGGCCTGTACCCACCCCACTTGCCCCAGGCTGGGTACCACTTCCCATCCCAAAGGATCACTGGCCCTGGTTGTGACAGCAGCCCACAGCATACCCGCCACACTGCCTGGCAGTCCTGACACTTGTTCCTGGGCCCCGTGATCATCACGTTGCCAAACCAGTGGTCAAGTCTTTGACCCCACTGCTAATCCTTGGAAACAAATGATCTGTTCTCCATTCTTATAGTTTCTCCTCTTCCAGAAGGTCATCTACATGGACTCATGCAAAATGTACTCTCTTGAGACTGGCTTCGTGAGTTTAGCATGATGCGTTTGACTCAGCCATGCTGTTGTACCTATAAGTAATTGTGTTCCTTTTTATTGCTGGGTGCTATTCATTTGTATGGATGTAACACAGCTGCTTTATCTTTTAACCCATTAAAATACTGCTTTATCTCCACTTTTGGTGATTATGAATAAAGCTCCTATAGACACTTGTGTGTATGTTTTTGTATGGATGTAAATTTTTATTTTTTTCAGTGAAATACCTTGGAGTAGGGTTGCTGGGTCAGATGTAAATGTAACTTTAACTTTGTAAGATGTTGCCAAACTGTTTATCTGAGTGACGTTTACATCCCACTAGCAGTTCTGTATCTTCCCCAGCACTTGCTTAGTTTAGCTCAGTTTTGTTTGTTTTGCTTTCCTAATATGTTGGATGTGTAAATTTCTATGGAGAAGAAGACCCCAAATAGCCAAAGCTATCTTGAGAAAAAAAATGGAGCTGGAGGAATCAGGCTCCCTGACTTCAGACTATACTACAAAGCTACAGTAGTCAAGACAGTATGGAACTGGCACAAAAACAGAAACATAGATCAATGGAATAGGATAGAAAGCCCAGAGATAAACCCATGCACCTATGGCCAACTAATCTATGACAAAGGAGACAAGAATATACAATGGATAAAAGAGAGTCTCATCATAAGTGGTGCTGGGAAAACTGGACAGCTACATGTAAAAGAATGAAATTAGAACACTCCCTAACACCATACACAAAAATAAACTAAAAATGGATTAAAAGACCTAAATGTAAGACCGGACACTATAAAACTCTTAGAGGAAAACATAGGAAAAACACTCCTTGACGTAAATCACAGCAAGATCTTTTTTGATCCACCTTCTAGAGTAATGGAAATAAAAACAAACAAATGGTACCTAATGCAACTTAAAAGTCCTGCACAGCAAAAGAAACCATAAATAAGACGAAAAGACAACCCTCAGAATGGGAGAAAATAATTGCAAACAAATCAATGGACAAAGGATTAATCTCCAAAATATGCAAACAGCTCATGCAGCTCAGTATAAAAAAAACCAAACAACCCAATCAAACAATGGACAGAAGACCTACATAGACATTTCTCCAAAGAAGACATACAGATGGCCAAGAGGCACATGAAAAGATGCTTAACATCACTAATTATCAGAGAAATGCAAATCAGAACTACAATGAGGGGGCTTCCCTGGTGGCGCAGTGGTTAAGAATCCGCCTGCCAATACAGGAGACACGGGTTTGAGCCCTGGTTCGGGAAGATCCCACATGCCGTGGAGCAACTAAGCCCGTGCACCACAACTAATGAGCCCACGTGCCACAACTACTGAAGCCCACGTGCCTAGAGCCCGTGCTGTGCAACGAGAAGCCACCGCAGTGAGAAGCCTGCGCACCACAATGAAGAGTGGCCTCCTCTCACCGCAACTAGAGAAAGCCCGCTCACCACATCGAAGACCCAATGTAGCCAAAAATAAGTAAATAAAACAAATTTTTAAAAAAAGAGGTAAATTCAGTTTCTTCTTTTCAAGTAAGTTAATACAAAAGGAACACATTTGCTGAGCTCTGTGGAAGTAATGGCAGCAGACTGCAAATGGTATGAGTTAATGGAATGACTCACATTGGCTATTAGAGTTGCACAATATATTTATATATTAATATATATATATATAAAGTGCATGTCACAGATTATGAGGGATGATACCCTTGGGTTCTCTTTTCTTTCTCATTGAGTCCTAAGGCTGATATATTAAGACATTTAAGAGATTCACATGATTGCAATTCTTGATCAGGGATGCCCAAAATTAAACGGTAATCTCTTGAGAGAGCACGTTTCTTTGTTGGTAGCGTTCTCTTAGCCATTTCTGCAAAAATTGTGGTGTGGGTCCAGGCAATTTCTCAGGAGCATGTGCCTTCCAAAAGATAAACTTACCGGACCTAACTAAAATGTGCCTTCTGGGATGGCTTTGACGGCTGGAGTTTATTATGCACAGAGTATCAATGCTAAAATGGTGAAAAGATGGGGAAAGCCCTGCTTGCGAGGCAAGGCTGCCTTTACCATTCTTTCTAAACAGACTCAGGGGCTTTAGAGAAAGTTACTGGTAGGAAATGGCTGGTGG